AAAGTAAAACTGTTGTAGTTTTCCTTGTGTTGTTAAAACTAGGCAAATTTTTTATTTAATCTTATACTATTGACTTTTGGTAAAAACCCATTTTTGACTTCCCTGTAGCAGCAAACCAAACCTAAGCACTCGTTAAATCTAATGTTATTTAAATTGGGAATAAATATGTCTTATTTATGGAAACGTTTTAGTAAAAATGTAATGAAACAAATTGAAATTCGCTTAGTCTTTGGCTTAGCTTAGGTTTGCTGAAGCGGGGGTATCTTTACTCAATACATAACATACAAAAATAGAGTCAAAATCTCTATAAACCATAGACAATAATACATAAATCCACGCAAACGTCTATTATGAAAAGTAAATGAAAATTTAAATCAAATATTTCTTTTTATTTACAAATTTGTGTAATGAATAAAAATTATTTTTATTAAGAAATATTTTAAACGTTTTTTGATTCTTTTGAAATTTTGTTCCTGCCGGATGCTTATTGGTGAATATTGTAATAATTTCACTTCTGCGTAAGTAGTTTTCTTTGAATAGTATTCTAAGATATGCTGGGGCAATTGGAGGGGTGATGTATTGCTTTTTAGTAAACATAGGTAGAAAACGGGACGAAAATCACACAAAATTGGAATTTTGATTGTCCGTTATTCTATTTACAAAATCAGAGAGGCAGGCTGAAACTAGTTGATGGCTAAAGACTCCCATTCCTGTGAATACAATTAAACAATTAGAATCATTATTGGTAGCGGTACACTCTAGTTTTCTTGGAGTTGCAGAATATTTTGTTTTACTTTAATGCTAGTGGGTAAAAAAAATTTTTTTTAATTCGATTTCTAACACAGAATATAAGTTTTAGGCGTCCCAACACGTGAGCACGCAACATACAGCTTGCCAAGTGAAAATCATTCATTTTCGAAATTAAAACCGGAGGTAATACCATTAGTGCCTTATTAATTGTGATTGCGCAAGCAAAACACCGAGAAAAAATTTTAGTCGCTTAAATTCAACGGGTAATTCGGATTAAATTATCGGCATTCTTGGAATTAAGAAAATTTCACCTTTGAACTGATGATTGTTGCTTCGATCAAGTTTGGTGTAATTTTATCCATCAGTCTGGTTCAATTTCAGTTTTGCCATTCCCAATGACCAAAGGCTGTTTAGTTTAGAGAATGTTTCTGCAACCGTTTCTTTCGGGCAAAATCTACGCATGCTCGTTAAAAGAGTAACTTTTAACCGTAGTACCATAAGATGCTTTTAGGCATGCGTGAACCTCGTTGGCAGGGATTCGCAGTAAAAATAGGCCACTAAAGGTAGACCAACACCTTAAGTTTAGTCAACGATTGTTCAAATATGAAATAACGGCAATCGATATTTATATTCGATCTTTGATCATCTAAACAACACTAAATTGTTGATTTAAAATTGAGTAAAAAACCAAATTGAGTGAAAAAAACTAAATTGGTTACTTAAATTGTCAGCACTTGACTTATGAAGTTTAAGTTCGGAAAATTACAAGGGCATAAATAGATTTGACCATATCATTTTAACATATTATATAGTGGCGCAAAAGCGAAAATCGCTGTCACGAGCCGTTTCGAAACTAATGTGGTTTCGTTTGTACAGTATGTTACAAAATTATCTGCTGTCGATGTTTACAAATAATTCTGAGATTAAAGTTATGAGCAAAATCATATAAAAGTGTATCTTATTTTTCTTTAATTGCATACTTTACATTACAGAGTTCTTATTATTTCAGGGATCAAATTTCTATGGTTTGTAGTAAAAATGTTTTTTCATAAATTATAAAATACAACTAACATTCAAGTTTTTACTTGACATTCACGAGAATGTCTTTTATAATGTCGATTAGACGCAATTAACCACAACCGAGCAGAGCTATCGGTACCGTATTGTAATCAACGAGCACAATATAACATTTGAATTTTTTTCGCTGATTGTAATGGTTTCAATTATCGAACACGTCTGTTTTCGCAGGAGTAGGGCCTATACAGAATAGAAAGAAAAGGTTGTTTTCAAGTTGCTAAAAGTTAAAACCAGTTACATTTTACCTCAATGCATTATGCAATCATTCCTATAAAAATTAACTCACGGATATGAGCCTACATAATTATTAAAAACCACTACAGTATTATTCTACCATTAGCTTCTAAAAATTAGCAGGTATACTGATGAAAATTTAATGGAAAACAGTTTCTAAATTTTGAACCATATCTTAATTATTTAAATAAGTAAAAAAAAAACGTTGCAAGGGCAACGGGTCACATCGAAATGATAACACAAATTAAATATATTTTGTTATAACCTTAGTTACGTTACGAATAAGGAAAGTGGGCCCTATTATTGGCGACTTTGGGGTGGGTTGCCTAATTCTCGTTTCTACAAGGACGGGCGCGCATTGTTCCCTCTGTGACCTCAATACACAGTCCATTCTTAGAATGACGTTAGGAGCCTTGGCAGGAAAGGGGTTTCTCCCAGATTCTGTGAATCCGAGAAATTAATCGTTCGTGCTCTGCTAACCACGAAACCCTTCCAAGTTTGAAAAAGTCTTTGTAACAATAATAGTGGATATTCAATTTACTTGTACTGTATATAAGGAATAATTAAGAGAGTTATTGAAAAAAGCAGCGCTAATTTCTCCTTCACTTTTCAGTGGCGAAACTAAAAAAATACGTCCCATTACTTATTATATAAATTAACTTCAGTTAATTTAATTGGAGTGTACCGGTATATATAATACTATTGTCTTACTATTTGTTCAATACATTTGAAAGTAAAATAGTAAAGATCCAAATACAAAACATGATTCAGAATTTGTTTATTTTATTTTTTTTACAATGTTTTCACTTCTAAACTAAAACAACCATTTAACGATGAGTATATCCAAAGTTGTTCCTATCCTGCGCCTAATAAAGTCGAATGTCAGTAATGATGGTTAGTCTCTCCACAAAAGGCAGCCGTTAAATAAAAGAAAAATCCCCGTCGGCATCCATGCGTTTGGTGGGTTTTTCGATCGTTATTGAAAATATGCATTGGAAGTTTGGCGTAAAGACGTTTTTTGTTTCCCGTGAAAGTCTTCTGGAGTTTATTTGCCACAGGTTTGCGGAAACGATGCCTGTTGCCACATAGCGCTACACGAACAGGTGCGGAGCCATCGTGAACTACTTGAAGCGTTTCACTTTTATCCCGCAACTGGTCGTAGCGCTAGGCGGCAACAGGCAACGTTACCGCAAACTACAGCAAATAAGCTTCAGAAGACTTTCACGGGAAGCAAAAACAAGTTTTCGCCAAACATCCAATGCATACTTTCAATAACGAACGAAAAACACACCAAACGCATGTTTACAGAAAGCGTGCATGCTATCTGGGGAGATATTTGAAATCTGTTTGTGGCAACCTTCTTAGCTATAAGGGGCTACAATAATTATGGTCAATTTTGAAAATTTTGCCCTTAGGGGTAGTGGGGGTAGGGGGTAGCTCAACATTTTCAAATGACAAGTATAGTCGAGATTTGTATCATTTTACAGGTCTTGACGAAACATACAAATTGGCATAAAGAAAACCATAATTGGCCCACTAATCACAAAATGGCGCCCTAAAACGTTTCAAATCCAAATAACCATGAGGGTGGCTGAATATTAACTTGCACCCCCTTTAACTTTTTAACTATTAGAGATATTTGAAATCGGTTTGCAGCAACTTGTTTGGATATGAAGAACTGCAATAATTATGGTCAGTTTCGAAAATTTTGCCCCTAGGGGTAGTGGGGGTAGGGGGTATCTCAAAATTTTTAAATAGCAAGTATAGTCGAGTTTGGTATCATTTTACAGGTATTGACGAAACATAACTATTAATATAAAGAAAATAGAAATCGGACCATTAATAACAAAATGGCAGCTAAAAATGATTAAGCCCGGATAAGTACCATGCCCGGACCCCCCCGCCTTATTGGGAGGTGCTCCACACCCCCAAGCCCCCTGGTGGACCCCCCCTTCCTACATTTGTCCCCCTCAATCTTTTGATGCTGACAATGCCAATGCTGCTAAAAATGATGTACATGAAATACAATTGATTATAGTGAGTTAGGCCTGAGTCTAGGTTTCATTTGATTTCTATAACTACTATTGTATGAGCCTATTACATTATTCAGTACAATGTTCAATCTACAATTGTTTTGTTTAACAGTAAGGTAGGCTACTTGTAGGCCTATTTAAGTACGTTTTTTTTAACATACATTTTGAGTATATTGACAGAATGTTTGTTTAAAATTAACATACAAGATTAAAAAATTTTCTTTTCTTTAATTTAAAAATGTATTCTTCCTTTACACTGTCAAACCATTGGAAATGTTGTAGGCATACTGTTACAAAAACCACACCAACTAAGAATAATGGTAATAAACTTACAAAACTAAAGGTGAAAAGGTAGGGAATAAAATTTCAAGTTTTAGAATAAATCTCTATACCTATTAAACTTTATATTGTAATTGCAACCTTAATAACTAATAGATGCAAGTATTAAGTAATTTTAGCCAAGTATTATGCAATATTACTTATCAATAGGGATTAATGTAGTTAATTTTTAGATAAATAAATATATGCTCACCTAGCTATTTTTCACAGAAGTAGAAGTTCATTTATGAGCTCTATTGTTGTTGTTTTAATATTATTTTCTATGCATTATATTGATATGTTACTGCACAAATACTAATAATTAATTAATTTAAAATCGTACTTCAGCTTGTAACAAGGTTGTTTTACGAGTTACATGCTCTAGGCCTAAGGAGCTACTTAAACTTACCTTGATCTTTTTGGTTTAAACTCGACTCAAACTCGAGAATTGAATCTTTTGCCAACTACTCGACTCGAACTCGACTCAACCTGAAAAAACTGTGCTCGCACATCTCTAGGAAACATAAATTTTTATTATTTGGGAGATAAGATAAGTTGAACCAGTTAACAGGATTTTATGTGTTTCAGCAACTTGACAGCTTGTTGTCTGAACATGTGATGGCTTTACACTCAGGAGTGAAGCAAGTCCATGACAGGTCATCAGTGACTGGCTCTACTCAGTCCAATCTGCCAGAATGTGATCTGCCTCTCAGGTAAAACATCAACACTCCCACTGTAACAGCCTCAGTAAGTCACCTAGGTGGCTTAACTCAATTACATTATTTTGCCGCGTATTTTTTATTTTTTATTTACTTATTCATTAACTTTGTGCACGATATACATACAATCTTCCAATACTTTATAATAAAGGCTTTTCCACAGTATTTCTCATAACACTAATACTGATGTAAAAGAGAGCTAAGCACTTTTGCCAAAACTGTTCTAGATGTTAATTTTCAAAAGTATTACAAAAATATTGAAAAATAAGCTGATTATGATAAGGCTAGAAAAATGTTTAATTGTAAAGTTATTTCATTTCATCTTCAGATAATAAGAATATAAGTGTAAATATATTATTACTAGTGTTAGTAGACTACATCTTTTTCGCGAATTTCCCATATAAGCTAATAAGGGAATAAGCTATTACCGTAGTACTCATAGTAAGACCTGGACGCGGGACCGATTTTTTTTTTCTTTTTGAGGTCCCTAGAGGCCAAAAACACCATCCGTTCAAATTCATATATATATATATATATATATATATATATTTATGTGTGTGTCCGTTAGCACGATAACTTGAGCAAAAATGATCCGATTTGAATGAAATTTGGTATAAACGTGTAAACATACATTTATTCAAACGAGTTCGCGAACCAGCATGATCGGACTATGGGAACAGGGGTTTACAGGGTGTTTTATGGGGTAAAAATTGGGTTTTCCTATTTTTGATCCAAAAAACATAAAATTTAGCAATTTCTTTCCAAACCATTTTGTAGAGCTTAAAAAAACAAATAATTTGGTATATTGAAGCGGTATTATGCGCCTAATGGCTACGGAGAAAATTCCCAAAAAATGTAAATTTAAAATTCCCATGTTATTCTTATGGAGAACTAACAAGTAAACTGTTTGTAGTAGTTTGCTTGTTTATAAAAACATATTTTGATCAAATTTGGAAAATGTTTTTATTTCTTACTAACTATTAACATTTTACAAAAAAAAAAAACTGTTTTACCCTCACTGATGCAGCAAACCTAAGTACTTGTTTAACTAATCTATAATATTAAAACGAAACAGTGTTTTTTTATTTCACGATTCTGAATCAACCACTCGACGGATTTTCATGATTTTTGTGTTGAAAGAAAGATAATTTTAAGAACTAGGGAATGTCGAAGCCATAATTTTAGTTTAGGGTCCCAGTTTTTTAGAAATTAAGTTTTAATTTTTAATAAGTCTAGCAGCCGACGCTAAGATTCTAAACTAGCTTTTGGCATAAAATAATTTGCTTAACATAACAGCTGTAAACATTCAGCTTTTGTGTCACAAATTCAGCATTTGGATAAAAATGTAAAGACATACTTAGGGTTGACTTATTTATACTATGTGTAATGCCAATCATTGATACTACAATTCTTCTGTACGAGGATGACAGATTAATTAAATAAACATAGTAAAATACTAGGATGTTCAAATTATTTTTTAAAGCAATCTTTGTAATCTTCGATTTGTTTTAGAGCAATATAATTTGTTTTAACTAACAGCTGGTTAAATATGAAAATGCTCTACAGAACTATGAGGTTATTTTATTTACTCTGATTTTTTTATTGATTATAGGAAATAAGTAAGATTAATAGACCACAGAGATAAGTAACACCATCGATGTATACAAGTCCTAGTCGGGGCTCTGTACACGAGTCTTAAAAAAAGGATATGCAAATTATTTTACTGCTCAATTGTTTTAGGAAAGGGTAGGAAAATCACAATTTATACATGTTTTAATTCATCTTGGTGGCGTTTTGTTTACAATCAATGTTTTTGAATGCTTAAACTTTGTTTGGATTAGGCCCGGAAATATTGACGTCATAAAGAAGGTTATCAAGAATCCTCAGGAATACGATTTTAAATTACCACCACAACCTCAGACGGGTTTTATCCAAAGCTATACAGATGAATGACATAGATTGAACACAACGTCATCATTGACCTAGGATACTGCAATTACACTAACCATCTTTTTATGAAATCTAAAAAGTTGTTTGGCATGTGTTTAGTTGTGGTCATGTTTGGAGGCACTGACTATTTTATAGTTTAAATAAATTAATATGGGGAATTACGATGTACATTGATTCAATGAGGGTGGTTTAATTATCAAGGATATTAGAGCGGACAACGGAATGGATAATAAACATAGAGAATTAATTACGTCACTAGCGTGTTTACATTTTAAATTCCTTCACCATGTGATCAGTTTTTTTTTCAAATTAATACTATTTTATTTTTGACTCAGCTATTTACAAAACAAACTATATGTTGTTGTTTTTACTTTTCTTTGTTTACACTTATTTATTTAGCAATTGATGCAGTGAAATTGATATTTAAAGGATGTGTGTGGACGATTCGTTTAATGATGTCAGGATACCAACGTTATAATTATGTGTACTGTGAATTTTATTGGATGTTTTCGTTTTATTTAAGGGAGTTTCTATTCAGACCTACTGGAAATTGTGTATAGTGTGAGCACGAATACTTCGTGAGTGTGGGTAATTGTTTTGTGGTGATATTGATTATGGAAGAGGCAGGTATACGATGGAATTGGAAGGTGATATCGTTGACTAGGCCTATGCACTTCTCAATTGATAACTTTTTCTACTGTTGGCTGCAATAAAATTTGTCTTCATACGTGTAAGCTAGCTATTCTGAATTATACAAAGTTTTAACTGACTATTCCCGTACGTAGGACGGGCTAACACCTCGTTATTTTAAAAAGGAAATAAATGTTATATTTTTAAGTAGACATTTTAGTGTAAATCCAATCAGGCAAATGAAAATTCGCTTGGTCTACAGGTTTGCTGCGGCGGGGGTATTGTTTTTTCAGGCAATTTCATAACATGTACGATGCTGATCAAGAAGTTATTCAGTATAGTATACTATGCAATGTTCTTTTCTGTCTTGCGATACGGGATTGAATTATTGGGGGCAACTTCTTATTCTAAAGCAGTTTTCAAAACTCAGAAGAAATTTATAAGGATTTTATAATTTATGCCTAAAAAAACCTCATACAAAGCAGGGTCGATTTACCGAATAAGCACGGTAGGCACTTGCCTAGGGCGCAAGGCAATTGGCGATTTTGGGGGGCGCCAAAAAATTTGAAAATGAAAAATATTTGGTGGTTGTATTTGCATGCGATTGCAGTGAACTTCTGTTAATCCCTTGCGGCCATGTAGACATCACTATCGTCTCCCACTGCTGTGTGAACATTGTAATCGTTTCCCGCTATTGGGGCAAAATGTTAATTATTTACCACAGTCGTTTTTGTCGCGAATTTCGCAGAACTTTGCCACAATCCCGCAAAATATTAGACTATTTCCCATGGTCTTGTAGACATAATTAGTTATCGTCTTCCATAAACGCGTCAATATTCTTGTGTGTATTCTAATTTCTATCCTACTTACTTATCTAATTACCTTATTAATATTTCAAATGAGTACACAATTGGGACTGACCTTTTTCTTTTATTTTCCTTTCACAAATACAAATTGAATTACAATTATTGTTTTTGTTTGCGCCTGACAAATGGTTTATTTATACCTGACTGCTGTATTTATACCCGATTTGGTTGCTATGAAGACCATGGAATGTTCTAGAACTTTAAACCCAGATGTTTCCACCAAAAGTTAACTTCCTTTTCCGGCAGCCTGACGTCATCGCTGCCCGCTTGATCGTCGTTGATCCATCAGCTGCTGTCGGCTGGAGCTTGAGCTGTCAGGGAGAAGCTATTGTAGACTAATAACAAACATTCAAACAAATGTAATACCTAAATTAATATGTTTTTATTATTTAGTTAGTTGTTATATTTACAGGTTTATCCCTTTGTTTGTGAAATAAAATGGTATTGTTAATTTATAACTGGTAATGTGTTGCTGAAATATTTACAATGGATAACCTAACCTAAATACAGTAAGTAAGTGGGTAAGCTAACCTAGGTACGGTAAGTGGGTAGAAATATTCTTAGTTAGCTTTATTTACAAAATAAACTATTAGAAACATTATTACATTGGTAGTTTATAGAACATTAAGCAATATTTAAAACATGAAAATTTTAAATAGGCCTACTTTTATTACAATTTATCTAACAAAAACCTAACCTAGCCTAGGCATAACATAGCCTAGATAACCTAAATTGAAACATTACAACAGTACCCAGACAGCACACTTTATCCCAGGGACATCCCATAGTAGTCCCATATGTCCTGAGAATGTCTCGGGATATGTGCGCTATCCTCAGGATATCCCGCAAAATCCCGGGACGAGTACGAAATCCACAGGATATCCTACAATATACCGTAATGTCCCGGGATTTGTAAGTTAACCTCAGGATATCCTGTAAAGTCCCGGGATATGTACGAATGCCATAGGATATCCCAGAATGTCCCATGACATCCCGGGACATGTACAAAATCCACTGGATATCCTGTAATGTCCCGTAATGTCCCGGTAATAAACTGAAGAAAAAAAATACTATTACTGATGAAATGTACAGTATATCTAAATTTAAATGTTCAACAAGAACAAGGCCAATATATAATAATTTGTTTTTTTCACTAGTGCTTTCAGAAACTTGGTTTCCATCTTCAGGCTGTGTTTACACTAGTACAAAAAGTAAATATTTACTTAATAAATTAATTTTAAACAAAGTTAAAACAAATGATTTAAAGGATATTGGAAAAATAAAAAATAATATTAGAAAAATTAATCTTTTGAATTTTGGATATGTTACAGTGTTGTTCTTGATGTAATTATTTTCAGTAATTCCGAATTAATAATTGGGCCGTCTTCATTATTTAACAAATAATTTTGGTCTGTTTTTTTTTCTAAAAATAAGATTCCCACGCATTAAGATGTTGAGGTTTTATAATTTATTTTTAAAAGTTTAAGGTTTCCCAGATTGAAAATATGTCTTGTTAATACTATGGCTAGCAAGGGTTGACTTTACTTT